GTGAAAAATCCGCACATATGATTTTTTATATGTGTGCTCAACTATGTTTGTGTTTATTATAATTTGTAACACCCCAACGTCAAATGCTGCAACTGTCTGCAACCTCTGATTGGTCAGCTACTTCAATCATCAAAAAAATATTTAATTAAGTTTCAGCCAATAAAAATGGTGATACTAATATTAATAAAACAATTCTGTCACATAATTAAAAATCAATAATAACATATTATTTTTCCCGAATGAATTTTACATGTGGGGCATACTGCAACAAAACCTAATAATAAATAATTATTAGACAGGGTATCAATATGAGTCAGTTTAATAAAAAAAGAAGCAATTTTGAGTTAAAGAACATTTTATTAATGTCATGTTTTAAATTAGCAATTTCAATTAGCAAGTAATTCACATATTAATATTATTTCATCTCAATTGTGCAATGCTGTATTTTATGATTTGTTATGGAGGTTTTCCTTTTTTTTTGGTGATGGTGGTGGTGATTTGAACTCCTTTAATTTATTATTAATTATAATATTTCCACTTTCAAACCTATCATTTGTTGTCTTTTTTTTTAAAGCCCCAAACCGTTGTATAGTTAAGCCTAATAATTTCTGCAAAGTAAACAAAAAAAATTAGTGTAAAAAGCATATTTATGAATTTATTAAATATTGTTGTGTTAAGATACTGCCTACTTTAACTTGTAACATGATTCTAACAATATTGATTATTTTATGTAATTCTTTGTTTGAAGTAGGTATATCAAAATCAGCTAAATTTCTTGATATATAGCAACCACCACCTACATAAACAATGAGAAAAACTTGGACAAAAAATATGGTGATAAAATCCTGGAATGACTAATTTCACAAAATTATTTGTCATATCTTGTGAAAGAGATCCACCACCAGTATCGATAATGATATCCATTAACTTTTTAGTGACCACAATCATCATATTCATGAATATTCATTAAGGTAGTGTTTGAATCCGAATCTCAAATGAGACCCATTAAGGAGGTTACACATTACCAAGATCATGTGGTGAACACATGATTTTAAGCTACTTTGATAATGTGCAACCCCCTTAATGAGTCTCATTTGAGATTCGGATTCAAACACTACATTAAGGGAGTTACCAAAATCAAGTGATTGACACATAATTTTAAGGGATTTTTGGATTTTTGATACCGTAAAGAACAGGAGAGAACGTACTGGGAACACAAAAATTAACAGGAGGGAATACAAAATTTTAACCCATGCAATTTGTTGA